AAATCTTAAAATAATTTGTTCTAAGTCTCTGAAGAAAGTCCATGGTATTTTGATAGGGATTGCATTATACGTGTAAATTGCCCTGGGTAACATTGACATTTTCACAATATTAATTCTGCCAATCCATGAGCATGGAATATTTTTCCATCTCTTTGTGTCTTCCTCAATTTCTTTCAGAAGTGTTCTATAGTTTTTAGGGTATATTTTGAGAACCATTTGAATGGTAAATGGTTCTCCAACCTTTTATTTTCAGGTTGTAGGTGTCCTTCTGTCTAAAATGAGTCTCTTGTAGACAGCAAATAGATGGGTCCTGCTTTTTTATCCAGTCTGAAACCCTGCGCCTTTTGATGGGGTCATTAAGCCCATTCACGTTCAGAGTTACTATTGACAGATATGAGTTTAGTGTCATCATGATATCTATTTAGTCCTTGTTTTTGTGGATTGTTCCACTGAACTTCTTCTTAAAGGGGAGTTTTAAGAGTCCCCCTTAAAATTTCTTGCAGAGCTGGTTTGGAGGTCACATATTCTTTCAGTTCCTGCCTGTCTTGGAAGCTCTTTATCTCTCCTTCCATTTTGAATGAGAGCCTTGCTGGATAAAGTATTCTTGGTTGCATGTTCTTCTCATTTAGGACCCTGAATATATCCTGCCAGCCCTTTCTGGCCTGCCAGGTCTCTGTGGAGAGGTCTGCTGTTACCCTAATATTCCTCCCCATGAAAGTCAGGGACTTCTTGTCTCTTGCTGCTTTAAGGATCTTCTCTTTATCTTTGGAATTTGCAAGCTTCACTATTAGATGTCGAGGTGTTGAACGGTTTTTATTGATTTTAGGGGGGGATCTCTCTATTTCCTGGATCTGAATGCCTGTTTCCCTTCCCAGATTGGGAAAGTTTTCAGCTAGGATTTGTTCAAATACATATTCTGGCCCTCTGTCCCTTTCGGCGCCCTCGGGAACCCCAATTAAACGTAGGTTTTTCTTCCTTAGGTGTCATTTATTTCCCTTAATCTGTCTTCATGGTCCTTTAATTGTTTGTCTCTTTTTTCCTCAGTTTCCCTCTTTGCCATTAACTTGTCTTCTATGTCACTCACTCGTTCTTCCACCTCGTTAACCCTCGTCGTTAGGACTTCTAGTTTGGATTGCATCTCATTCAATTGATTTTTAATTTCTGCCTGATTGGATCTAAATTCTGCAGTCATGAAGTCTCGTGAGTCCTTAATGCTTTTTTCTAGAGCCACCAGTAGCTGTAGAATAGTGCTTCTGAATTGGCTTTCTGACATTGAAGTGTAATCCAGATTTTGTAACTCTGTGGGAGAGAGGGCTGTTTCTGATTCTTTCTTTTGAGGTGAGGTTTTCCTTCTAGTCATTTTGCTCAGTGCAGAGTGGCCAAAAACAAGTTGTATTGGAACACGGGGGAGTATCTTCTGATTCTGTAGACTTTAAGTCCCTTGACTTCCCTGGAACTGGTCCGTCCAGCTGGTCTTCTGGGGGAGGGGCCTGCTGTGCTGATTTTCAGGTGTTAGCACTTGGGGGAGCTGCTCTGCCCCTGCCTGCTGCAGGGCTCAGCGGGGGTTGTTTACCCCGTGAGGCCCCAGGAGGAACAGCCGCAGTTGCTATGGCAACTCTGGAAGCCTGGATTCAGCCTCCGCAGGAACTACGGGGCTCGGGGCTCTCGGTCTCCGTCCGCAGGGCCTGGAGGCTCCGGGGCGGGGCCGCTGATCTGCTCAGCTCGGGGCAGGAGCGTCCTCGCTGTCCTGGGCCCTCCCGGCCTCTGCCTGTCCCGGGGGAGGCCGGATCCTGGGCTGTGTCCCGGCGCCCTGTGCTCCGGGGCCTGCGCTGTGGATTCGCGCTCCCGCCCCGCAGCCCCCTCCGCGGAGCCGCCGCCCGAGCCCCTCCGAGCTGCTCCGGCGCCCGCCGTGCGCGCTGCAGCCCTTAGGGAGCTCGGCGCACTCTCCCGGGGCGCAGGTGTCTGTTAGTGTCCCCGGGAGCCCGAGGGCATCCCCGCCCTCCTGGGTCCTGCTCCAACTCCCTGCGAGCCCCTTTCCGCCCGCCGGGAAGGTTGGTGCAGCTCCTGCTCCTCCGGGACGGGGCTCTCCTGTCCTGGGGACACTCGCCCCGGCCTCAGCCCGGCTCCTCGCGGGGCCCCTCCCCCTCGGAGGCCTTTTGTTCTTTATTTCTTTTTCCCCGTCTTCCTACCTTGATAGAAGCGCGAACTCTTCTCACTGTAGCGTTCCAGCTGGTCTCTCTTTACATCTCAGGCCGAATTCGTAGATTTTCAGGATGGTTTGAAGGTTATCTAGGTAATTTGGTGGGGACAGGTGATTTGGGGACCCTGCTCTTCCGCCATCTTGCCCCTCCCCCCCGATATTGGAATTTCAATTTACGTATCAAAATTAGTTTAATCAGCACGAGTGTAATTATGGATCATATCAAATCTATTCTGGAAAGATGATTTTTGGATGCATAAACAAATTTCAGATTTTGAGGTCTTCAAGAGATATTACATTCCTTCAGGCCGTGTTTGGGTGGCCGTCCAATTAGCCTAGCCTAGACCTCACCTCTCTGCCCAGCTGTGTGCCCTTCGAACTGCTTTCCACTTTAAGAGGTAAAGAAAGAATGAACAATGAAGTAGAGACCTGCATAGATTGCTTTTTCTAAAATTTTGGAGCTGAAGGCAAGTAGATAATATGAGAGGTTTTTGTCCCTAAGTTAGCTGAGTGACAACAGGTCCAGGAGGAATGGGACCTGGAGGATTGGTAGGGGGTAGCTGAGGTAGTCACCAGTGTTGGTGGAAGTGAGAGATCTGCATGGGGCAGAACAACACTTTCCTCTGAAGAGACAATGGAGCCTGAGTGGGTAAACCAGTGATATTTAATTTTGGAGGTACAGCAGTAGAGAATCTGTCTGGACTATTGTGTGCTTTCATAGGGGCATGTTTGAACTGTCCTTCAAAACTGGAATATCCACTGAGGTTGAATAGTGAAGATGAAGTGGTTGGTTAGACCTTAAGGATAGAAAATATTTTTCATGCACATGTTGTGGTAATGAGTTCTGAAGAGGACAAAGGAAGAGAGATTCTGGAGTAAGCATGGCTGGTTGACCACTTAAGGTCATGAGTGGGTCCCAAAGGTCTTTAGGAATCAAGATTAGAGCAGCAGAACTTTGGGTGCCTGGGAATATCTTTGTAATGTAAGTGCCTCAGGTGATTATATTCTAGAGAAAAAAATTCTTAGATATGATGTGATAGAGTCTGTTTGGAGGCAGGAGTATTGCCCTAATTAGCATGGCTGCATAGCAACCCATCCTAGAGATTTACTGGTTTAATACCGATTTTGCTCACAAATCTGCAATGTGTGCAGTGCTCATGTCTGCTCTATGACTACAGCAGCTTGAAGGCTGGGGCTGAAATCCTCTGAAGGTTCTTTTACTCACATGTCTGGCAGTTGATGCTAGGAAGACTCAGATAGGAGGGGGCAACCATATCTGGGGCTCCTTCAGCAGCTCAATCTTTATGTGTCCTCTAAATGAAATCTCTTTAGCTTTGGCAGTTTCAGAGTAGCCAGACTTTCCATACGTCAGCTCCCAAGGAAAGCATCCCCAGAGCTTCCTTTGCTTTCAGATCTTAGAGAATTTCCTCAGCTACCATTATTCCATAGCTGCAAATCTTGAGGCCAAAGATAGATTCTTTTGCATAGTAATTTTGGGTTTATGTGGGAGTATGTGGAGGCATTAGGTGGGGAAGGAGGTAATGCTAGCTTAAGTGCTATTGATTAGTAGGAACTGAGTTCATTCTCAGTAGCACAATTTAAGGGACTTTAAAATGTCTCTAGCACATATGACTTCCAATCAGTGGATGGGGCAGGAGTCAGGAAAAAATATTTAGTAATAATATTATATGATAATTTATTACTGTTAACATGACCATTTGTTTTTCTATTATATCCTGTAATAGAAAAGGGAAGATGAAACTGGTTTCTACCCTAGTGAAACCACCTACATAAGCTAGTCTCATACTACAGGAACAATACATTGGGATAGGAGTTAAGTAGATTTGGGTTTACATGTGGGATAAACAGTGAGCAACCCTTTGAACTCAGACGGTTGTGCCTTTGAACCTCAAGTCCCTCACTAAAAATAATTTTTAAAAGGAATAAAGTACTTAAAAAGAGATAATATGGAACTTAGATAAATTTGGTCTCTTGAAGATTAACAAATAGTATTTTTCCTCCTTAAGGGTGCCGTATGTCATTAGCTCTCATTTATTTAGTGCTTTGAAGTTTAGGGCTAAAAGAAATATTACCAGTGTATTAATTAGGATTTGAAGTTTGGCAAGCATGGAAATCTCAGGAGGGAATGCAAGTGGCTTGAGGCTTGAGCTCAGAGTCTTTCCTAATTTCCTAGCTGTGCTTTCTACTCTATGGATAGAGAGCCTATCCTAGCAATTAAATATAATGAAAAATCAACATTGAAGTGAACTGCATACATTTGTGAGTCTTCTCAGTGCTGATGAGTGCAGTGGTACTTTAGTTTCTTTTCTGTATTAGAAGATATTTCTGATTTGGTAGACACAAAGTTGTAAACTACATAAAATCTTGCTGCAGTTGGGCTGGGTTAGCAGCTGAAATAAAAGGTTGAGGCGGCAAAGGGAGAGGGGTATTGATTTTGCCTAGGGGTAAAAGGGAAAGCTTCACTAAATCCATTCTATGCATACTGAAAAGAGGTCTACTATTCTAGCCATTCCTCTGGAGTCACCACTCATCAGTTAGGCAAATGTTAAAGGAACAAACTTTACCAGCAACATGTTTAATTTGGTCAGAGGAAAAGAAGGCAAGTAGTGTGGCAAACAGTTAACAACCAAGCGGGCTTGTGGTAAGATAAGAGAATAATGGCCAGAATAGGTGATAATTTCCTCATTAGCCTGTTAGTTCCAGGGGGCAGAAAATTTCATCTGTTTTGTTCCCGGTGTCCCCAGGGCTCAGAACTGTTTTTTTTTTTTTTTTATGATAGTCACACAGAGAGAGAGAGAGGCAGAGACACAGGCAGAGGGAGAAGCAGGCTCCATGCACCGGGAGCCCGACGTGGGATTCGATCCCGGGTCTCCAGGATCGCCCTCTGGGCCAAAGGCAGGCGCCAAACTGCTGCACCACCCAGGGATCCCTCTCAGAACTGTTCTTGACACAAGATAAGGTATGAATAAGTAGTTGTTGAATGAATGAATATCCTTATAAGAGATAGAAACAAATAATAAGATACTGGCATTTGCAGGAGATTAAACCAGACAATCACCAAATGGTAGAAAAAGGCAATCCCTCCTTTTTCTCTGTAGAAGTGAGAAACCAGCAGCCAAGATTTCTAATGATTTTCTGACAGCATGACTTGCGAATCTAGCTTAATATGCCCATTTCTATTTTCTTTCCCCCAACTTCTAGTTTATTTTTCATGAGCAAAATACTTTTTATAAAAAATTTTAATTCCAATATAGTTAACATAAAATGTTAGTTTCAGATGCACAATATAGTGATACAACAATTTTATATACTACCCAGCACTCATCATAAGTGTACCTCATCACCCCATTCACCCCTCACCTCTGGTAACTACCTGCCTATTCTCTGTAGAGAAAAGTATTTCTTGGTTTGTCTCCCCCCACCCCCTGCCTTTGTTCATTTGTTTTGTTTCTAAAATTCCACATAAGAGTGAAATTAGGGACGCCTGGGGTGGCTCAGCGGCTGAGCATCTCTGCCTTTGGCTCAGGGCGTGATCCCACATCCGGCTTCCCGCATGGAACCTGCTTCTGTCTCTGCCTTCTCTTTCTGTGTGTCTCTCATGGACAAATAAATAAAATCTTTTTTTTTTTTTTAAAGAATGGAATCATACAATATTTTTCTCTGATTTTTTTTAAAAAAGATTTTATTTATTTATTCATGAGAGACAACACAGAGAGAGGGACAGAGACACAAGCAGAGGGAGAAGCAGACTCCTCGCAGGGAGCCCGATATGAGATTCAATCTTGGAACTCCAGGATCACACCCTGAGCCGAAGGCAGATGCTCAAGCACTGAGCCACCCGGTCGTTCCATCTTTCTCGGATTTATTTTGCTTAGCACTATACTCTTTAGTTCCATCCATGTCATTGTACATGTTAGGATTTCATTCTTTTAATGGCTGAATAATATCCCATTTATCTTTAAATCCATTCTTTATCCATTCATCTATTGATGGACACTTGGGCTGCCTCCATAATTTAGGTATTGTGAATAATGCTGTAATAAACATAGGGGTGCGTATATCATTTTGAAAGAGTTTTTTGTATTTTTGTGGTGAATCCCCAGTAGTAAGATTAATGGATTGTAGGGTAGTTCTATTAAATTAATTAATTAATTATAAAAATATTTTATTTATGTATTCATGAGAGACCAGAGAGGGGAGTGGGGGCAGAGACACAGGCAAAGGGAGAAGCAGGCTCCATGCAGGGAGCCCCATGTGGGACCCAATCCGGGGTCTCCAGGATCACACCCTGGGCCAAAGGTGGCACTAAACTGCTGAGCCACCCCGGTTGCCCAAGGGTAGTTCTATTTTAAACTTTTTGAGGAACCTCTATACTGTTTTCCAGAGTGGCTGCTGCACCAGGTTGCATTACCACCAATAGTGCTTGAGGATTCCTTTTTCTCCATATCCTTGCCAACACTTGTTTCTTGTGTTTTTTATTTTAGCTATTCTGACAGATGTGAAGTGATATCTCCTTGTAGTTTCGATTTGCATTTCCCTGATGATAAATGATGTTGAACATCTCTTCATGTGTCTGTTTGGCCATCTGGATGTCTTTGGAAAAATGTCTGTTCATGTCTTCTGCCCATTTTAAATAAGATTATTATTATTATTTGGTGTTGGGTTGTATAAGTTCTTTATGTATTTTTGATACTACTAGCGCTTTATCAGATATGCTATTTGCAACTATCTTCTCCCATTCAGTAGGGTGCCTTTTAGTTTTGTTGACTGTTTCCTTCACTGTACAGAAGCTTTATATTTTGATGTAGTCCCAATAGTTTAGTTTTGCTTTTGTTTCCCTTGCCTCAGGAGACATATATTTTGGTACAACCAATGTCAGAAAAATTAATGCTTGTGTTATCTTCTAGATTTGAAAAAAAAATTATTTAAACTCAATTTAGTCAATGTATATTGTATTATTAGTTTCAGGGGTAGAATTTAGTGACTCATCAGGGGCATGTAACACCAGTACTCATTACATCAATTGTGCTCCTTAATGCCTATCACCCAATTACCCCATCTCCCCACCTACTTACCCTCCAGCAACCCTCAGTTTGTCCCCTATAGTTAGGGGTCTCTTATGATTTGTTTCCCTCTCTGTTTTTATCTTATTTTATTTTTACTTCTCTTCCTCTATGTTCATCTGTTTTGTTTCTTAAATTCCACATATGAGTGAAATCATATGGTATTTGTCTTTCTCTGACTAATCTTGCTTAGTAAAATATTCTCTAGTTTCATCCACATCATTGCAAATGGCAAGATTTCATTCTTTTTAACGGTTGAGTAATATTCCATTGTATATATATGTGTGTGTGTATATATATATATGTTTGTGTATATATATATATATATGCCTTATCTTCTTTATTCATTCTTCAGTCAATGGACATCTGGGCTCTTTCCATATTTTAGCTGTTATGGACATTGCCCCTCTAAACATTGGGGTGTACGTACCCCTTCAAATCACTGTTTTTGTATTCTTTGGATAAATACCTAGTAGTACAATTGTTGTGTTGTAGGGTAGTTCTGTTTTTAACTTTTTGAGGAACCTCCATACTGTTTTTCAGAGTGGCTGCCCCCATTTGCATTCCCACCAACAGGTTAAGACAGTTCTCCTTTCTGTGCATCCTCAACAACATCTGTTGTTTCCTGAGTTGTTAATTTTAGCCATTTTGACAGTGTAAGGTGCTATCTCATTGTGGCTTTGATTTGTGTTTCTTTGATGCCAAGTGATGTGGAGCATTTTTTCATGTGTCTGTTAGCCATCTGGATGTCTTCTTTGCAAAATGTCTGTTCATGTTTTCTGCCCATTTCTTGCCTAGGTTTTTGGTTTTATTCGGTGTTGAGTTTGGTAAGTTATTTACAGATTTTGGATACTAGCCCCCTATGTCACTTACGAATATCTTCTCCCCTTCTGTAGATTGCCTTTTAGTTTTTATTGATTATTTCCTGTACTGTGCAAAAGCTTTTTATACTGATAAAATTCCAATAGTTCATTTTTGCTTCTGTTTCCCTTGCTTCTGCAGATGTGTCTAGCAAGAAATTACCGCAGCCCAGGTCAAAGAGGTTACTGCCTATGTTCTCCTCTAGGGTTTTGATGGATTCCTGTCTTACATTTAGGTCTTTCATTACCTTTGAATTTATTTTTGTGCATGATGTAAGAAACTGGCCCAGTTTCATTCTGCATGTGGCTGTCCAATTTTCCCAACACCATCTGTGGAAGAGATATATTTCCCATTGCATATTCTTGCCTCTTTTGTTGAAGATTAATTGACCAAATAATCAGGGGGTTGTTTCTGGGCTTTCTATTCTGTTCCATTGATCTATGTGTATATTTTTGCGCCAGTACTAGATAGTTTTGATTACTACAGATTTGTAGTATAACTGAAAACCTGGAAAACATGGCTGTAGCTTTGCTTTTCTTCTTCAAGATTGTTTTGGAAATTTGGAGTCTTCTGTGGTTCCATACAAATTTTAGGATTATTTGTTCCAGTTCTGTGAAAAATGCTGTTGGTATTTTGATAGGAACTTTTTAAATCTGTAGATTGCTTTGAGCAGTATGGACATTTTGACAATATTTGTTCTTCTAATCCATGAGCATGGAAAATCTTTCTATTTGTGTCTTCTTTAATTTCTTTCATCAGCATTTTATAGTTTTTAGAGTTCTTTCACCTCCTTGGTTAAGTTTATTCCTAGGAATTTTATTATTTTTGGTGAAATTATAAATGGGATTACTTTTTAAGTTTCTCTTCCTATTGTTTCATTATTAGTGTATGGAAATGCAATGGATTTCTGTATGTTGGTTTTACATCCTATGGCCTTATGGAATTCATTTATCAGTTTTAGCAGTTTCTTGGTAGAATGTTTAGGGTTTTCTATATGTTAGTATCATGTCATTGGCAAATAGTGGAAGTTTTACTTCTTCCTTACCAATTTGGGTGCCTTTTCTTTTTGTTGTCTGATTGCTGTGGGCAGGACTTCCAGTACTATATTGAATGAAATTGGTGAGTGTGGACATCCTTGTTCCTGATGTTAAGGGGAAAACTCAGTTCTTCTCCATTAAGTATGGTGTTAGCTGTGGGTTTTTCATATGTGGCCTTTATTACATTGAAATATGTTCCCTCTAAACTTACTTTGCTGAGGGTTTTTATTATGAATGAATGCCGTACTTTGTTAAATACTTTTTCTACATCTACTGAAATGATCATTTTTTAAAATTCTTTTATTGATGTGATGTATGATGTTGATTGATTGTGAATATTGAATCATGCTTGCATCCCAGGAATAAATCCCACTTCATTGTGGTGAATGAGTTTTTAAATATATTGTTAGGTTCAGTTTGCTAGTATTTTACTGAGGATTTTAACATCCATATTCATCAGAGATATTGACCTGTAGTTCTCTTTTGTTTTTTGTGGTATCTTTATCTGGCTTTAGTATCAGGGTAATGCAGGTCTTGCAGAATGAATTTGGAAGTTTTCCTTCCTTTACTATTTTTTTTTGAATATTTTGAGAAGAGTAGGTATTACTCTTCTTTAAATGTTTGGTAGACTACACCTGTGAAGTCGTCTACCCAGATTTTTTTTTTTGTGGTTGATTTCTAGTATTATAGCATTGTGGTCAGAAAAAGATGGATGGTATGACTTCAGTCTGTTGGTTGGCAGTTTTTTGATTACTGTTACATTGGCCATTGCTGGTAATCAATGCATTCAAAAATTTTTTTTTTGTATTCAAATTTTCTATTTGTTTCTGATTCAGTTTTGGGAGGCTATATATTTCCAGGAATTTATCCATTTCTTCTGAGTTGTTCAAGTTGTTGGCATATAATTTTTCATAATATTATAATTGTTTATATTTCTGGGGTATCAGTTATTATTTCTCCCCTTTCATTTCTAATTTTGTTTATTGGAGTGCTCCCCC